CTCCGCGGGCCATAAACCAAAGATTGCCGGCCGAGGTGAAGTGCCTGGGGTCTGGCCATCCGTTCCCCCACTGCCTGTGCCCCTCATAGAAGGGATCTCCCCGCAGAAGAGGCACTTTCCCTCCGCAGTGTTTCTGGCGCAGCTCGCACCACCAGCGCCATTCCCCGTTGAAGTGCGCCCAACGCATCCAAGGGCACTCTCGTGCACGGAAGGGGCGAAGACCGTCGGTCGCCGGGGGGCCGTCCGGGCGGCGCGCCTCGCAGGCCGGCCAGCGGGCCTGCTGCCTTTGATTGCATTTATTCTTTCCCATCCTCCAGGGTCGCAGCTAACGGCTGCTCAGGCTCGATTGGGCAGGGGCCAGGGCGCGGCCGACGGCTGCCGCGAGCACCTTAGGGGCCGCTAGGTCGATCGATCAGCTGCCCGGGGGGGGGGGGGAGGGGGGGGATTTTCCAAGAGGAAAGCGGCCAGGGCGCAACACGACGGGTCTCAAAGGTCTATCTCCAGCCCGCCCACGGTCGGGAAGCGCGCCGGGAGGGCGTCGTGGGAACCAGTCAATTTGATGCGCGCGTGGACGGCAGTTTCGCCGTCGTTGCGCAGCGCGTCAGCCCAGAACACCCCCAGGGTGGCAAGACTGTCCGCTGCCTCGTTCAGGCGGCGTCTGACAGCCTGCCAGGAGAGCACCCAGCCGATGTCCTCGGCCTGGCCGAGTGCACTCTCCATGTGCTGAGCCAGGTGGAGCTTTCTGTACCTGGCCGTGCCGGCCCCGCATCTGATGGCTGCCAGGTTGCCCCCCGCGACCCTGGCGGCTCGAGGAGGCCCGTCCAGGTGGGGGGGGGAGGGCGAGGCCTGCCAGGCAACCTGCTACCTCGGCCATCTGCGCGCTGCTGCTTCCTGGGGGCGCGACAATGGCCACTGCCACTTTCTTGGGCACGCCTGTCGCGGGGTCGTGGTGCCACAGTATCGCCCCTGCGCCTGAGACCTTGGCCCGTTCGCGAATCCTCCATGCTCCGCCATCGAAGGTGATCTCGTAGGGCCACTGGGCGCTGTCGGTGTCGAGGAAGGGTGAGCTTCGGACGGTGATTTCGCCCCCCCGGGGCGAGGTCGGTGTTCGCAATGAGCGTCGTGGTGCGCGTGCGCTGCATTCCCGTCAGTCAATGGAGTTCCAGCTGGCCGCGGGGTTGCTGTCTGTCCTGGGGCAGGGGAACCATCCGCGGCCAGGAAGCACCCATCCTGCGCGCAGCTGACTGGCCTGGATCACGGCTAGCTTGTCCCCCGCTCTGCTGTGGCAAGTAGTGGTCGGAAGCCTCCGCATTTCCCCTCACGCGCGGCGTGCGTGGCGGGTCATGCGAGGTCTGGCTGCCCCGCATATGCTCCTATCCCGTAGAGGGGGGGGGGGGGGGGGCACGTGCGGCATGTGTCTTGCATGGGAGCCCACGCCGCAGTTTCTTCCGGGCTGGCAGGAATTGGCGGATTGTCGAGGTCGAGGTCGCTGCCGTCACTGTCTCCCTGCTGGTCAATGCCAGGGGCAACGATGCCCTGTAGGATGAGCCGCGCCGCGTCGTTCGCTCGAAGCGGGGCGCAGCCGAGGTTGACGCAGTACCTGAAGGAGATCTGATGTAGGACCTTGGCAAGGAGGGGTTGGTGATCCCCGCTGCGGGCGACGGCTGAGGCCAGGAATTCGGGGTGCTCTGGACCTCGGGCGGCGTCCCAAGCCAGCGCGGCGGCTGGGCACCCGTGCCACACGTGTTCTGTCGACGCCTCGCCGAGACCGCACAGCGGGCACTGCCCGTATGGGCTTGTCCTGGAGGGAGCCCGTGCGCTGCCCTTGGTCAGCGCGTAGGCCTCCGCCTTGCTCCGGAGGGTGGTGGGCAGGACGAGTGGGTCTAGGAGCTGCCACGGTGCCGAGGTGCGTGTGCCCGGGCCCAAGCATCTGGCGCACCAGGCCTCGCCTTCGTGAGTTGGCCCGGCGGTAATCCATACGTGCTTGGCGCGAGCGCCGCAGGGGCACTCCGCTGCTCGCGAGACCACCACTGCGCCGAGGTAGGGCCATTGGTCCCGGACGGAGGACCCCCCGAAGGGGGTGTGGTCCATGAGGTTACGCCACCACCCTTGGCGGCCGGCGGGAACCAGGGCTGTCTTGAATGCGCAGTTGCACGGGCTTTCGAATGGTCTGCATGCTTCAAAGTCCTGCCGTTCAATGTTTCCGTTGAGGAGTGCCAGGATTAACTCCCCAGGGAGTCCTGCGATCAAGACGTCGCCCCCATCTTGCTCAAAGTCGACTGGAGCTTCGTCGAACGCCCTCCTGAGCGCAGCTGAGTCCGTAGCCCGCATCCCCTTGCCCTTGCAACGATGCGCCTCTACGAGTAGGCCGGCGGCGCGCGCAGCCCAGGGGGTGGCGATGGCCGCGCGCAGTGCCTTGTTGAGCTGAGCAGAGCGGCAAGGTCGTCAACGCATGTGGGGTCGTCGTCCGCGGTAATGTCGGCCAGGGCGGATATGACGGGATCGCACACCATGCGCCATAGGAGCGGGGAGGCGGTGCCACCCATCCCGACGGATCGGAGGAGGCGGCGCTCCGGCCCTTTGCACTTGCCTTTGCAAGTCTGCACCCTTCGCCCGCCGATGAGGGAATCCAGGGCGTGTGGAAGCCAGGGTGGTAGCTTCCATCTCTGGAGGAAGCTCCCCATCCACTGTAGGGAGATCCTTTCAAAGGCGTTGTTCTGATTGCAGAAAATGATCGCTGTGCCCGGGGTTTCTCCTACCCGTGCGGCTGCAATGTTGATGTATCGCTCTACTGCTTTAGCGTGCCTGCCAAGCAGGGCATGCCAGGCTGGGCCTGGGCCGTCGGGGGGTTGAGGCTCCCTTCCTAGGTGCCCGGTGGCTCTGGCAATATTGGGTCCGCATTGCCCACATTTTTTGGCGGCTTGGTTGGGGCCGAGGAGGGGCTCCACGGCCGGCCCTCTAAGGTCGGCGAGGGTGGCTCCGTAAAGTCGCCTGAGGCATGAGGGCAGCTGTGGCGGTCTCATGTCGCTGGGCGTCTCCGCACCTGCCTTCTTTCCGATCCAGGCTAGAAGTCGACGGATGGGCCCATGACGGATTCTAGTAGAACGGGGTTCAGGTCTGCGGCGTGCCGAGCCTGCGCCAGCAGGCACGCCACGAATCTGGCTCCAGGGTGGTAGGCCCCGTAAGGCCCACCGTCAATGCCAGGGGCGCCCCCGCTGGGAGCAAGGACGAGGGAGGCGATTCTGCCCCAACGTGGCTGAGGTCTGTCTGGGACGCCGATGCCAGAGTGCTGCTGGAAATAGCAGTCCAGGAGGCGCGTGGCAGCCCCGGGGAGGGGAGGCGCTGTGTGCCATATTGCGCTGCGGCTGTCCCACAGGACGCGGTCCATCTGCCCTGGTCTCTCGTGCCAGGTGCCCGTGGCGTCGCGTACCCCGAGGACAGAGTGAGTCTTCCGATATATCTCCCTTCCTGTCCTGTAGTGAGCTGCCAGGGGGGACCGCTCGGCGCCAGGTCCTCTCTGGACAGGCGTCAGTCTAGCCGCCCTTCTCTGAACCGTCTCGGCATCCCACCTTCGAAGCAAGTAGGCGGCTGCCGCGGGAGTCAAGTCCTGTCCGTCCCACCCGCTGTCGTGCAGCCACGCCGCGAGGGCGCCGACTGGGCGAGTTGGCCCGCTTCTTTTGCTGGCTGTCGCCAGGAGGAGGCCGGCTCTGGCCTTGTTTCTTCTCCACTTCCTCCACCAATCCTGGAGGGCGGCGGAGAGCGCATGCCTCCCGAAGCGCAAGAGGGCGGGTAAGATGGGTGGGATGGGGTCCGCTGTGCTATTCTCTTGCTCTGGTAGGCTGGGCGCGTGTCGCGCAGCCTCGACGTCGGTGTCGCCGTCGTCATTGTCGGTGTGTCTGTCTGGGAAGCCTGCCGGCGCTGCTGGTCTGACCCAGTCGACTGGCTGGATGAGCCCGGTCAGATTGACAGGTGGGACTCCGAAGACCAGCTCCAGGTATGATAATACCTGTCTGAGATCAGCGTGGGCGGCGGTGGGGAGGTTCTTGAGGTCCCCCACCCTCATGGTGCAGTCTCTTCGGGCCTTCGGGCTCCTTCGGGCTGCAAATAGAGGATGGCATGGTCCGACAGAGTTGGCTTCCATGCGTGCGTGGATACGCATGGATACGCGAAGCGTCTAGAATTCAACAGGCGTGCGTGCGATGCGTGGGCGTCGGTATGCGCGGGTCTCCACAACCAGCCCTGGGAGCCAAATGCTTAGACAAGGCATTTTGATAACCAATGCCTGCAACGGATGAGCGTTCATTATTGTAAGGCTGTCCTCAAAACAAAGCGCATGTCTGATGCAACCGCGCGCCTGCACAAAACACGGCATGATGCTTTCCCAGCGGGGGCGGCTTTCTAACCCACCGTCGGATCACACTTGCGCGTGTGTGTGCCCATGTTTGCGCCAGGGGATGACTAACTTTCAACAGTTTCCGCTCGGGCACAGCTGACACGCACCCTATGTCGGCGAGCATCTGCTACACGTTGTCGTTTGAAAGAGGGGGCTGGAGGCTGAGGCGGGCCGCGTCGTCGATGGCAAAATAATGCGGGCCCGATTTCCCGCGCCGCGGCAAAATATGTCATCATCTTGGGGGGCAGCTTCGGGTAACCGCTGCAGTCGAAAACAACATCTGACCCCCACCCCTCTCTCCACCCCCTTCTCTCCTCCTCACTTTTCTCATTTCTGTAGGTTTCGTTGAACCTGTGGCGCAACACACCAATACCTCCTGCTTCCGAGCAGCGCGCTCCCGACGTGGCGCCTGTGCCTGAAATCTGGCCGATGAAAAGAGGACACGCAGGCTGGGCGCTGTGACGAGCAACACATGAGGTGTGTGTGTGTGTAGGAGGGGGGTTAGTGGAGGCAAGGAGCGAGGAACATGAGGGAGGAAAACATGGTGGGAGGGAGAGCAAGGAACTCCGCTCGCCCACTGGGCCGCTCTTCACCCCCCCCCCTTCACTCCTGGTAGCACATGTTGAGGGCGGCGCGGTATGTGCAGACAAATACTTCGCCGTTGCTCATCTTGAAGAGCCCGTACTCCCCATCCTCGGCAACCTCCTCCTGCTACTCCTCCTTGAGCTCTCCTTGCAACTGCTGATGCTGCTTCTCTTCACTCATCTTTTGGTGTACAGTACAATGATGAAACCTGGGCCCTGTTAAATCCGACTAGGGGCGACAATGAACCATGGACGCGAACAATGAACAAATGGGAAGGCGCTAAGAGTATGGGACAATGGCATGGCCCGCCACAGGAAAATAACACGCGGGACACGTTTCGACCAACAGATGGCAATGCAGACGCATGTGCCTTGTGAGTTGAGCGTGGCAGGGAACTAACTTCCCATGTAAACTGTCTCCCCCCTGGAGTGGAGCGAGGCACAAGTGCAAGCCAACTCAATTGGTTGGATGTGGGCTCGCTAACGGAACAATGAGCTGATGTAAACGAATGTGGGGGTGAAATAACCGAATATGCAAACTGCCGGTGCACATGAATGTGGGTAACGCTGGCTGCGGTTTCGTGTTGGCCGTGGGGATCGCGTCTAGGGTGGAGGTTGGATGGTACACAATCAGGGCTCAACCTTCCCATCTAGGCGTTGCCTACTGGCGGTCCGCAACTGCACGCTACTGGAACGCTGTGGGCAACACAACTGGGGAACGAGAGAATATTGTGGCCCGCTGGCGGCTGCGCGGTGTGGGTGAAAATTCTAGCCTGGCCTGCTTACCGTTGAAAATGCACGGCCACTGCTGGTGCGAAATCCCACTGCTCAAACCCAGGCTCTCACGATCTGTCCCACTCCTACTGGCAATAGGCGTGTATAATGGAAACTGAAGTTTGGAAACGGCAACGACCGTCGAAGATTCGTGCCGTGTGCAAGTGACAAGTGTGCAACCAATTCGGGGAACGTAAGAGACACGGAAGACCGAACTTGCAATAATGCTGGCAGCGGGGTGAAAGGAACAAACATAACTGTTGGAATGATGAAGGCCTCCACTTGTCGTGGAAGTCGTCAGTATGGAAGTGGAGAACTTTGACATCGAAGAGTATGATGTACGTGCAACCGAGGCTGAGGCGGTACCTGCAGTGTGCGATGTAGTGCGTCGTAGTGATTACTACACGTCTGCTGGGTGGCTGTCGTTGTCCAGTGTAGTGGCTATCGCGGAGGCTGATGTGTCTGTCGTGTGAAAGCTGCAGTCCGCGTCTGATGCACATCTCGTCGCGCTGTGGGAAATTGGCGTTTGTTGTTGTTGTGGTGCCGGTCGTGTATTGACCATGGCCTTGCTGAGCTCTTGCTGTCGCGCCGCGTGTCGGAAACGATAACTTCGCTGGCGTCCCTTCCTGAACATGCTCGCGTGTGCTTGTATCTGGAGAGTCTGGCAATGGGGTACTGTATCATCTGCGCTGAGGTCCAGACGCAGGGTTTCGGGGGGGAGCTAACAACTAGGTGCTCGTCGAGGTTGCTCCAGGTGGATCGAGTTGCAATCGATTTTGTCGAGGCTGTAGACCTGAAGGTCGGTTGATGCTGAAACCGTGGGCTCTGCCGTAGTCGTATTGACAAACATTTTGCCTAGTAGTAGCGCGTCCTTTGAATATGATAGTTCGTATCGTAGCCATGTTGACTGGTGACTGGTGCCTGGATGTCTTGACAATCCTCCGCGATTGCCTCGCTTCTGCCGTCGTCCTCAGAACAATAAATTTGCGTCATGACGCCGGCTCTGCGACGGAAGTCGAAATCTACCTGGCACTGCCGCTTGTAAATAATCGTCCCTTCGGTGACAATGCAAATGCCTTCCTCTGTAATGATGTTGTCGCGTGTATCCAGAACTTGTGTGGCTGAATGCTGACCTGATGTGCCGAGGTTGAATGGAACCGCTGATTCTAAAGGAGGTGGCAGACCTTCGGCGACCCAAGGTCGTTATAACTGTCGACGTGATGGCATAAACGTGTGGTCGCGTCCTGGTTCCCCAAAAACTGCACTGCCGTTCCCAGGCTCTGTCATCCATGTGCTAGGCTGCGCGGATTAAAATAGTGTTTGCGATTCCCTGGAGGTCATCCCCTGAGCCCGTCTAAGTGCCCATAGCCTCCTCCTCCTCCTCCTCCTCCTCCTCCGTAATCCTTTCTCTTAGCCTTGCCCGTGCCCGTGCTGCTCTCATCCCATGCCTGCCCGCTGCTGCTCGGGCTCAGGCCGGCCTTTGAGCTTTAGAGCTTGCTGTACTGCCCACCAGCTGACGGGCCAGCAGATAGCCAACGCTCGCGGCCCGCCCTGCAGCTGAGAAAAGGCCACGACCCAACAGGATACGCAATCAGACTGGTATTACGCAGCTGTGGTTGCGATTAGTGGACGCGGCCGAGTGTTCACCAAGGACCTGAACGAGCCCGACGACAACAAGAACAAACTGAATGACAAGGGAGCTGGACACTCCTACTACCGTGATGACGAGATCGTGGTGGACCGAGACGGCCTGCCGCATTACACGGGGACGAACTCGGACCTGCTAAAGGAGCAGAAGGAGCGCGTCACCCTGGCGCTGGCGAGGCTCGAAGGTAGCTGAGATGACGAAGATGAGCAGAAGGTTTTTTTGTTTCCAGTGCAAAGTTATCGTGTCGATTCGACACAAGAATGCCTCGACACACACAAGGATGCCGCGACACACAAGATCTGCGTGTGCGTGCGAAACAAGGATGCGAGGAAGGTATAATGAGCAACGGTGCAAGTATACACGAATTTGTGGCTTGAGAAACTATGATGAAACTACCCGCTGAGCGAGTAACCAGAGGAGTCGTTGTGATGAAAAGTTATGCGAACGCGTTTGCGGGGTTCGCGACCTATCAGAGTGCGGGCCGCACAACGGGGCCCGCGGCCTAACATATCTAGTGTAATCATTCGTCTAAAGTTTTATCCGTGCACTCCTCATCATCTCCCTTCTCCCACCCTCCCTCCGAGCAGACAGCTGGTCGGGCGGCGAATGGTCAGAGCGGTTCCGCAGAGCAGTGGACGAACTGCAGCGGCCCTGGTGTCGCCACCGATACGCGTCTAGGTCAGGCGCCTGAGTCAAAAGGTTCCCAAGTGTGCGAGACATGGACACCCGTGCGCTGTGGCGCGATGCCATCGGCGACCATATCCAAAACAGTGTTGCACACGGCGTCAGCATCAAGGTTAAACTCTTGGTAAACATGGATGACCTCACACGCGCGCGCGGCAGGCATGCGGCGCAGCCTTCGCAGTCTCCGCAGCGCTGTCTCGAAGAGCGGCCGCAACGTAGGCGCTCGGCACCGCCACTGGCAGTTGACCTGACGAGCAAGAAACAAGGAATCGACGTGACACCGCATGTGCTCGGCAAAGTACAGAAGAGCATGCTGCAAATTTTCCAACAAGCCGGTGTATTCCGCAACATTGTTTGTGACGTGGCCAATTTGCGCACCGCGGAGCGCCACGACGCGCCGGCTGCCTTCGGCGAAACGAACACACCCGAATGAAGACAAACTCACCTCTGCAGTGCCCTGACGCCGGCTCGCTCCGTCCGACGCGTAGACGACCCACCCCTCAGCGTAGGCGGGAGGTCTTGCGAGCAAGGCACGCCGCTCTCTTGAAGAAATGCCGCTTCAAGGCGAAGGTGCTTGACGGACTACATGGACGAGCATGGCGCCGAGCTTAGCACCTAGCCTTGGACCCATCGGACCTGAAGGTAGACAAGGCTGAACAGAAGATCTTCGAGGCCTTGGCGACGCTGAACAAAGAGGCCATCGTCAAGAAGGGTACGGCACTCGACAACTTCTTCAAGGAAACTTCCGCGGGCGCGGCACCGACATAGGCGAGCACCTGTCCGACAAAGAAAAATTGCGGGGGGAACTGCATGAGAGAAACGACCAAACCGGGGAGGAGGGGGGAAGAGGGGGCAAGACATCGCCACTCAAGACCCAGCAACGGGGCCCAAATCCCAAGTGGGGAGGGGGGGAGGTGGCGCGCGTCGCGACGCGGAGTAAAACTGTCGGAGCAAAGGGGGCACGGGGCGGAGGTCCCACTGGGGCGCTGGGGGCGCGGGGAAAGAAGGGGGGGAGGAGGTGGCGCGCGTCGCGACGTGGAATAAAATGGTCGGGCGGAGGGGGCGGCGGGCGGGGCTCGGGGCAGAAGGCCACGGTGCGGAAGTCCAACTGGAGCGCTGGGTGCGAGGGGGGGGGGGGGGGAGGTGGCGCGCGTCGCGACGCGGAACAAATGTCGGGGCGGAGGGGGCACGGGGCGGAGCCCCCGCTGGGGCGCTGGGGGCGCGGGGAGGCGGGGGAGGTGGTGTGCGTCGCGACGCGGAATGAAACGTTAGTGGCGGAGGGGCAGTGGCGGGGCCCCGCTGGGGCGCTGGGGGCGCGGGTGGGCTCGGGGCAGAGCCGCGGCGCGGGGGGCCCAGCCCACCGCTGGGGGCGCGGGGGGGGGGGGGGGGGCAGCGTTCGCGAGCTGCGCTGGACGGCGCGGGGGCCCACTCTGGCGCTGGGGACGCGGGGGGGGGGCGACGCGGACGTTCGTGGCGGAGGGGGCAGTGGGCGGGGCTCCTGCTGGGGCGCTGGGGACGCGGGGGGGCTCGGGGCAGAGAGCCACGGCGCGGGGGTCCCACTCTGGCGCTGGGGACGCGGGGGGGGGGGAGGGGGGGGGGGGGGGGGGGGCGCGACGCGGAATGCAGCGTTCGTGGCGGAGGGGGCAGTGGGCGGCGCCCCCGCTGGGGCGCTGGGAGCGCCGGGGGTCTCGGGGGAGAGGGCCGCGGCGCGGGGGCCCACTCTGGCGCTGGGGGCGCCGAGGGAGGGGGGGGGGGGGGGGCGACGCGGCATAAAATGGTCGGGGCTCTAGACACCCTGTGCAAGAGAATATCCAGCGCAATCGGGCCCGACGACGCCGGGTTCCCCAGGCCCCGTAGAACCCCGCGCCTCGACGCCAACATGCTGACATAGGCAGAACAATGAACCCAATTCCACCGCGGCAGATCCTTTGGCACGTGCTTTAGATAAATTTCGTATCCCTCATCTCGCAATAGTCCAGGCCGCACACGGGGCCCCCAAGTGG